TGTTCTGTTAAACTGCCCTTATCCCGACCCACCAGTTTTCTGCCTGTTTTTTTTCCGTTCTCCTCCGCACCCCGGTGGGGGGAGGGGCGTCCGCGTGGCGCTTTTGTTGCCGGCGGCAGCCGAAACCAAAACATGAGGCTTACCGAAGCGAATGGATGAGTTGCACTTGGCAGGAGAAGTAGTAAATACGTTTTCACAACTCCAGGTTGTCTGAAAAAGCAGGTGAGTTACTGAAAGGTGGCGTGATTTGGATAATGGAGGTTTAGCCTTTAGGCTTGTACATTTTAAGACCAGTTTGACTGGTTAAAGTGCAGAAAGGAAGCACTGTTGTGTAAAATATGCAGTCAGATGGAAAAAGAATATGAAGCTGGAAGCACAGGTCGCTTGCCTTCTGCTGCATCAGGATGTCAGATGCAATAAAAGGTTTTTAGTGTTCAGCTGTAAAAGCCCCTTTAAAGGAAATGAAGTGTGTTGAATTTTTCTGATGAAAGAGGAGTTCGGTGAAGTCTTTGGCTTTTAGCATCCACAAATCTGATTTATGAGACCCTTTGTACAACTACTGAAAATGTAAGGTTGTCGGTAAATTGAGCAGAGATAAACTTTTTGGACTTCTTTTAAGGATAAGAGGGGGAATATCTGGATTGTATCGATCTGTGTTTTTATGACACTTAACAGGTGTACATCTCTTGGCTGGTATTATTCATTGACAACATCATCATTGCGTTTGAGATGGAAGTATTTGTTGAGGTACTTGTAAAAAGTGACAAGTTAATGGAAACTAACCTTTTCTGGTACGAAGACAAATGGCTTCACGTTAGCCAAGAAAGCTTCTTTCCTAAGGCTAATTAGCCTGTCTTTATTTAAAGCAGTCTTGTCTTGCTAGGCGCAGTTTGGGAACTGTGTGCACAAATGTTCCACTCGCCTGAAGAAGACTGTCACTGGGATGTTGTCAAAGCTGGGGGTGGAAAGAAGTGGACGAGCAGAGGTGTGACTCTTGCCTCCTTTTGCTGTGTTTTGGATTCCCGGAGCAGTGGTTGCATGCTTGTGTGGGATTTGTGTAGCAGACGTTGTCTGTGGGACTGCTGCTGTACTAGCGATGGGCTGTTGTTAATCCAATGCCCTTTCCTCCATGGAAAGCACACCAGCCTTCCTCATTTATCTCCTCCTTCCCCGGTGCCCCTCGCATCCTGCTCATCTGGTTTCCTTGCAAACAGCCCCAGGATGACAAATAAGCTTTTGAACTTCTCTGGGAGGAAGAGAAGGGGGTTTCTTCAGTGCGTACTCTGATGTGTGAGCTCAAGTGAGAGGATGTGCAGGTTGCCTCTGAATTTACCCAAGACCATGCAGCCTGTCAGTACCTGAATGAAGTTTGTGTGCCATTACCTTTTCATTTTATGAAATTCACTGGTCATTGGCGTGTCCAAACTATTCCAAATGAATACATATTCTGACTTTTTAATCTGTCCATTTGGTTTTTTTTTTCCCTATTTATTCGCTATATCATGAGCCTAGGGTTGCGCGTTTGTATTATTACTGGTTTCTGTATAGTCTTGCCTTAAAAACTGTGTAGAATGGTTCTTATTTCAGAAAAAGAAGAGATAACTGCATTTTGAAAGTGTGAGCTCCTCAGTCTGTACGGATGAAGGGGTTCCATCTGGATGGAGGAGTGAAACAAAGCAGGAGGAGAACGTGCAAACACAGCCCCCATTGAGGATTCCTTTCAGTCATGGGAGTTTGTGCTTTTCCTGCAGAATGCAGGCTGTTCCTGCAATTTTTGATTTCTTCAGTTCGCTATTAGAGAATTTACATACATTATTATGCAATAGTTAGATGAAAAGAACAGTGTGTGCTCATAAATTCTCATTACAGAATTACAGTAGCAGCTGAAAGGTGTAAGAACAGGGATGCTATTATTTGAAATGCTGTACGTGTGATAGCCCTGACCCTGCAGTGGTTTTGGTGTGAGAACTTGAAAGCGTACTGCAATACCTTCCTGAACTGGATATAGAGATAAAAAGCTGATCGCTGCAACTTATTAGCATTTGATCAAATTAAATAACTTCGTTTAAAATTCTTTCTTTGAGAAGACAGTGATCAGAGAGCATTATTTTACTATTATTTCTTTTGTTTCTTCATTTAAAAAAAAAAGGCATAATAAAGGTACATCCTGACAAGTTAATACATAGTTCAGCAATTTGTTTCAGTTGTATAATTATGCAAACTATTTCTACAATTTCTCTTTTGGGTAGAAAATGGTAATCTCCTCTATACATTTAGACCTGTAACTTTCACATCTGTGATCTATATCTCTGAATTTGCTCTCATGTGTCTGGGATTAAAATGAGCAGAACTAAAATTAGAGTTAAATTAATAGTCAGCATACTGTGAAACATAACATACCAGACTCATCTCTTGGGTGGACGAAGACCTCTTGCTATTGGTATAGCTGTCTGAGAAGATGGTAGGCGTCATCGTTCGTCTCTGATATTAAGAAAGCTGCAAATTAAAAGATACCATGGAACTCTTTAATGTATGACTGCCCCTTAGAGGAAATTTGATGTGTAGTCCAGTTGCAGTGATTGTAATGTGCTCGTCTGAGCCAATGTTGTTAAAAATGAAGCCTGTTTCGCATGATTTTTTGGCAAGTCAAATCATTAACTTCACGTACTGGACTGATAATTGCAACATGTGAAAGCTCAGAATTGCGTTAAATTGCCCCTGTGCTGCAGCAGTTTCTCTGCTGTTGCTGCGGTAAGTTGATGTGGGTGGAATTTACTTTTTTTGGTTTTTTTTTAGAAGCAAGAACATTCTTCTTTATTGGAAATAACTTTGTACGTAGGACTTCTGTCACTATGGTAGTTTCTGAGGTCTTTGCAATTGTGACTACCATCTTGTCTTGCCTTTTAGACAACTTCTAGGTTCATGGGTAAGCAAGGAACCTACTCACGCAAACTTGCGACACGGATCAGGCCTTGTTGCTAGCATGGGATCTGACTGGAGTCACTCGTGTCAGCTCACTAATGAAAGCTTCCATGACTTGTTTCATTTTTGAACAGGATTCTGCAACCAAAAATACAGGAGCTTTTAAATGAGCCATAACTTCTTCAGTGAAGTTGTCTTGTTCTTTTGAGGACTGCTCTGACTGCCAATTATTTCTCTCTTGGTCAGGTACGACTGGTAAGGCATCATCACCACCACCTGTAATAGACACGAGACAGATGAGTGAGAAGCTGGAGACCATCCTGTATCAGCTCCGTCAGGTAACTCGAGAGAGGGATGAGCTGCGCAAGCGACTTGCACTTTCATCTCCTGGATCAACTTTTGATGACTGCAGGTAAAAATAAAGGAAAAGTTACATTTTAATTTAGTCCTCAGTAGTGTTTTCACGTGTCTTGACTCCTGCTTGCCTGTAAAGCGGCAAGGAGGTTGCAATGTGTATATGTTGCTCGTAATCTACCTGCATCCTGGTGGTGTGGAGGAAGCAGGGCGATAAGCAGGATCAAAGCCTTGGACCTCAGGAGGGCTGACTTTGCCGTCTTCAAGGAGCTACTGGGAGGAATCCCGTGGGCCAGGGCTCTCGAAGGCAGGGGAGTCCAAGAGTGCTGGTCGCTCTTCAAACGTCACTTCCTCCATGCTCAGGAGCAGTGCATCCCCCTGAGAAAGAAATCGAGCAAAGGAGGCAGGAGACCTGCATGTTTAAACAAGGAGCTGCTAGCGGAGATCAGGTGGAAGAGAAAGGTCCATGGAATGTGGAAAGAGGGGCAGGCACTTGGGAAGAGTACAGGAATGTGGTCAGAGCGTGCAGGGATGCGACGAGGAAGGCCAAAGCCCACCTGGAATTGAAGCTGGCAAGGCATGTCAAAAACAACAAGAAGGGCTTCTTCAACTACAGCAGCAGCAAAAGGAAGGCTAGGGACAATGTGGGGCCGCTGCTGAATGAGGCGGGTGTCCTGGTGACGGAGGATGCGGAGAAGGCAGAGCTA